TTAATGTGTCTTGATACAGCACTTTGAGAACATCCAGCTTCTTTTGCAATTACCTTGTGAGGCTTTCCTCCTTGTGGAGGGTGTCAGTGATGGTTTTCTGCACAACTGTCAGGTCAGCAGTCTTCCCCATGATTGTGAATTCCACTGAACCAGACTGACAGACCAATTAAAGGCTCAAGAACCCTTTGCAGGTGGATTAATTAGCTGATTAGAGTGTGACACTTTGAGCCTACAATACTGAACCTTTTCACAATATTCTAATTTTCTGAGATTTTGAATTTGGGGTTTTCATAAGCTGTAAGCTTATTAAATTATATCAAATATGAAATATCTCACTTTGCATGTAATGAGTCTATATAATATATTAGTTTCACCTTTTAAGTTGAATTACTGAAATAAATGAACTTTTGCACGATATGCTAATTTTTTCGAGTTTCACCTGTATGATCAGCTTCTAAGGTATGATGCATTGTTCTGGATCAAAGTCCCCATCAGCATATATTTTCAACTCAATACTTGTGGAATTGTTATTTACATTTAAATAAAGGATAAGACATTTTCCACCACTGCTAACATCAGACAGAATCCATCCCTATTTACAGTTTAAATGTGTACTGAGACACACAGCTGACACTATCAAGTGCCATGAATCTATGTTTATAGCATGAAAGTCTCTGATGAGATTGAACCTAACCCCGGCAGAGTTTCTTTTCCTCGATTATTAACACATGGCTCTAGCTTTCACAAGAGGAGGGATATAGTTGGAAATAGCCGCAAAGGGCAAACGCAGTAATAAAGACAGAACATCCGACTACTACATATTGGCTGGCAGTTAACAAGTCCCCTGTCTCTGTGCTCTGAGCCATGGCTCTTCGCTAATTAGCCTTCTGTGACATGCTTGAGACAAAGAGTTGTCGTTCAGAATAATAACGATGAAGCCTCTTCATAATGAAGATGGAGTTGGGGAGTGATAAATACTGAATGGTGCTGCAGGTGGAACAAAGTGTCATCAACGCTTCCAGAGTGAACTCCCTTCTGGGTGTGAAGATGTTTGCAATTTGATGAAAGTTTTTACCAGAACATATCAATTACAGCAGGTGCGGAAAGATGAGACAGCCTAAAGTGTACAATTTTGTGTGCGAACCGACTAGCATTGCCATCGGGGGCGGAGCTACACTCTCAACACAGTGGGGGCAGAGCTTCATCACGGGGCCTCCTGTACCAAGTTTACGTGACCTCGGAAGAAACAATTTAACTATGTAGCCTACTTAATCATAGTAGAAGCACAAAAAACAAGCACCAATCACCAAATCAACAAAATCTAAACATGTCAGCAAAATCAGGCAGGTAAAATGCTCTTATTCTGAAATGATCCCTGTGGTATATACAGCCCTGCAGACGTCGGAACAAAACTGTGTCACAGAGAGCTGTGAAGAAGGTAGTGGAAACAAAAAAATGACATATTAAAAACAAGTTATTAACGTGGGGCAGGCTACACTGCTGAAACACTTCCAGTGTGAGTTGATGTCGGGCAGAGGACAGAACAAAACAGTGGCGCACACGCCGCCTGTGTGAGTCCAGGATGATACACAGCCAGTCCCTCAGAATTCCCACCGCTACTTGAATGCCATCCATGAAGCTTTGCCTCTAGCGTAGCTTAAAAGCCTAAATGAAACTAAAACACACTAAAATTAAATCAATAAATATGCATTAGAAAATTAAAACTAGATTTATTACTAATGAGACATTATGTGGATTTATGAGCATTACAATGTGGATTTACTTTGGAAATTATCCAGTGAGAGATGAAATTCTGCTACTGTGAAAGAGCCACTGGACGCTTCACTCATTTCTGATGAAGTTTTGTTGAGCGCCAGACTCCTCTGGCACTTCATGGTGGTAATGAGAGAAGTGTAAGTATTACTTTTTCACTTTCACTTTCCCAATTCAGATTTATCGTGACCCCGGATATCCTGAATGTATCCAGATACACAGCGAACCAGCAACCTGTGATTATAGGAGGAATGGGAAGAGAAGATTATAATAGAAAGACTTAAAATTATTAGCTCCGTCTGCTTCCTAAAAAAAAAACGAAAAGAAAACTTTTCTCAAAAGAAAGTGCCTGAATTGGAGACGGAGCTGATTTCATTAGAGTTAGGGGAAATTGTATCTGCAATAGAAACCTGCCTGCCATACTAATGCTGGTCAGACACAGGACCGTTTCATAAAGGGAGCTTTGTACAATGGCTAAAATGCTGAGAAAATATAATTGAAATGCAGCACGGTTCACCCGGGGCGACAGGTAAATGTTAAACTCCTAAATCAGGCCCTCAAACTTCATTTCCCCATGTGGGAGACCTTTACAGCACATAAGCAGGACGACAACTTTTTTTTTTTTATCAAAGCAGTATTTGGCTGAGCAAGGAGCCGAAAACCTGAATCAACTCAAATCCACCTTCTTCTTTTTTTTTACCACTTTACTCCTCTCCTGGGGAACAACAATAGTCCATTATAATAAACTTTTTTTTGAGGAGGTGTGTGTCTAAAGTGGTTAGAGTGCAGATTGTTGGACTGAATGTTTGCAGGAACAGCTTTGGACAGTTGTATTCATTAGCCTGTAATGATGGTGGAGGCATTTAAGCGGCAGTGATGAGTTTTGGAGAGCTTAATGATCCAGGTGTTATTAAAGTTCACTTGGAGGGGAATGTGATCCCACTGGGAGTTTGGCTTTATGGTTTTTGTCTCTCGTCTGTTTGTTGGAGGCTATTCCTGTTCACCGCTTCCCTCTCAACTCAACTCAATTTTATTTATATTGCACCTTTCACACAAACATGCAGCCCAAAGACAAACGAACGACAAAAAAAGTGTTCTGTTCAGAGTTGTTCCGAGCTCAGTGTTCCCTGTTTTTGTTTTGTGTTTTGCTCTGCTTTGCTGTTTTTCTGACAGCACTCGCTTCTTTCTTGTCATGTTGTTTTTACATTTGTTGGCTCCAAATCGTCTGCCTCTCCCTTTTCTCTTACCCAAAAACTGCAGAAAATATCCTGCCCTAAAAGAATGTATACTGCTATGATTATTTCCCTTCTCAATAACTTGATTCATCATTTAATCTAATAAAATGACAAAAGATTTTGAAAAATGCTTATTACAAGTTCCCAGAACCCAAAGTGACATGTTTAAATGTCTTGTTTCATCTGTCCAAGAGGCCAAAACTATCAAAACTAACAAAGCTATTCAAGTTTATGATGAAATAAGCAGAGAAAAGCAGCTACATTTTAGCTAGATTTCTCATTTGACAAGCTGCACATAGTGCTTTCCAGTGGAAGGGAAAGAACGTGCAAAAAGAAGAGATGATGTTCATTGATTTCAACAACAAGCCACTGGGTTCAGTTCTTTTCAGCTTTCAAGTTGTGAACACCAATTGGCAGAGACAAAGTGGAAATTCTCACATTCAGAAACTGATGGTTATCTACCAAGAAGTATTGCATTTATAGCATTCTCTGTTAGAAAATCCAACCCAGAAGAAAAACAAGCAAAACTGGCAGTTTCTTGTGTTAAAATGGTTAATGGTTGGCAGTCCTACGCTGGACACATTAGAGACAGATTTAGCAAACTTCCATATTTAATTTTTTCACTTATGCGCAGTGATGTAAATGTAAATGCTCCGTACTTGTATAGCGCCTTTCTAGTCTTTTCGACCACTCAAAGCGCTTTTACACTACATACACTAAGTGCTCAAACGGAAAGTAACATTCACACACATACACTGGCGGAACAGCCGTCAGGGGCAAATCGGGGTTCAGTATCTTCAGACACTTCGGCATGCAACCAGGGGGAGCCAGGGATTGAACCGCCGACCTTCCGATTAACGGCCAACCCGCTCTACCTCCTGAGCACAGCCGCCCCTAAGTGGGTAGCACTGTCAAAAAAGGTTCTGGCTCCGAATATTACTCCACCATCCTCCGCCACCAGACTCCCTTGACAAAAACAGCAATTTCACCTTGCAACATATGGGAGTTGCTGGTCTACCACTGCCTCGATCTGTCAGTTTGTTTGTGTTATAGCGTGACTTTATTTGTCTTTGTTTGTTTGTGCATTTTGTTTGACTTTGGTGTTTTAAAGGGTTAAAAACACCAAAGTCACACAATAACACAAACTAACCAATCAAGGCAGCGGTAAAGAGGTAAAATTACTGTTTATTGTTAAGGGAGTCTGGTGGCTCGGGACAGAAATATAGCAGCTGTTTCTGGATCTCTATAAAAAGGTCTCACTCTGTAGAGATAATGTTGTCAGAGCCAAAAATCTGAGCCTGTCAGTGGCAGAAAAATGCACTTTAGTGGACGGTGTGCAATTGTCTGCAAGGATTACGTTGCAGCCCTGTTTCACTGCTGCTAACTGCTCGCTCAGTACTGGACCATTTTCAAAACATTAGACACAAAAACACAGAAAAATAGGGTCCAGGTTGAACAATACGGAAATTGTCCTTTGGGGACTCTAAATTGCCCACAGGTGTAAAATGTGAGCGGAAATGGTTGTCTGTCTCTATATGCCAGCCCAGTGATGAACTGGCAACCTTTCTAGGGTGTACCAAGTACCAAAGCCAGGGTGGGCCAATGTCAGCCGGGATAGGCTCCAACCCCCCGCAACCCTGTACACAGGATAAGTGGTTGATGATGGATGGATGAGATAATGGATGGACTTTAGTACATTTGACCCCATCTTCAATGATCATCCTTGAAAAAAAATTTATTTTATGAGGGGAAGGGGAAAATAAGTGAGCAAGAGACCAAGAGATACTGCTTCAATAAGGGTATAAATTTATTTTTCAATCCACAAAACACCAATCCTTTCTGACTAGCTGAGGCTTGTTGCTCTACAGTTACACAGCCAATGGCCTATTGATATTGAAAGCTGTTTACACAGTAAATACAGAATAGTTTACTCACCTTTCTGTTCTGTTCATATTCTAACTGCTCATGACCTGCATCCCCTCATGTCTGCAGGAAACGCCTTCGTGGTGAGCCTGGCTCTTGCTGACTTGGTGGTCGCCATCTATCCATACCCGCTGGTGCTGACCGCCATTTTCCACGACGGCTGGATTGCCGGCTACATCCACTGTCAGATCAGCGGCTTCCTCATGGGCCTCAGCGTCATTGGCTCCATCTTCAACATCACCGGCATCGCCATCAACCGCTACTGCTACATCTGCCACAGCCTTAAGTACGACAAAGTGTTCTCCAACAGCAACACCATGTGCTACGTCGTGCTCGTCTGGGCCCTCACCATCCTCGCCATCGTGCCCAACTGGTTTGTGGAGTCACTGCAGTACGACCCACGGGTGTACTCCTGCACCTTCGCCCAGTCGGTCAGCTCGCTGTACACCATCACGGTGGTGGTGGTGCACTTCATCCTGCCGATCGGCATCGTCACCTACTGTTACCTGCGTATCTGGATCCTTGTCATCCAGGTGAGGCGAAGGGTCAAGCCGGACTCGCGGCCAAAGATCAAACCACACGACCTCCGCAACTTCCTCACCATGTTCGTGGTGTTCGTACTCTTCGCCGTCTGCTGGGCGCCACTGAACCTGATCGGCCTGGCCGTGGCGCTGGACTCCAGGCTAACCCGGGCGATACCTGAGTGGCTGTTCACAGCCAGCTACTTCATGGCGTACTTCAACAGCTGCCTCAACGCCGTCGTCTACGGTGTCCTGAACCACAACTTCAGGAAGGAGTACAAGAGGATCGTCCTGATCATCTTCAAGCTTCACTGCTGAGACAATACACTGAGCTGAGGGGGAGGCAAAGGGTGGGCGTAATTTTAACTTATGTGACAAGAAAAGGCTTTTAAAAAGCAACTAATGAAAAAAAGAGGAACTCAACCTTGACAAAGAGGTGAAAACAGAACTAATGAAAGGAAATATTCATCTCATTATACAACCCTGTGTTGTAAAATGATAAATAAATCTACCTTGTACTTTGGAAAGAAAACAAATAATAGTATTGTAGAAGGAAGAAAGAAAAATGCTTTGTATGAGAGAGAAAAAAATAAAGAGCTTTAATAGCTGGAGGCTGAGAGAGGTGGAGGGTAGAGATGAAGTGAAATAAATGATGCCACACAGAGTTATCAGTGATGCCTTCAGGGAAATTGAGAGACTTAAAAAATACAGAGAGGGAGGGAGAGACCAGAGTTTGGGAGTAACTTAGTAATGTGATTTATCATGGCTTTCTTTGGTATTTCATGAATTACTGTTTGAAAATAAAAATAAGTTGTTACTTAGGTTTTTACCAACTTCATACTCAATTTGAAGTTGCATAGTTCTTAGTGATCATCTCCTTCTCCCTGATTCATTTGATGCATACAATCATCTATGAACTATTTTCAAGACAGAAATCCAATAATATCCAATACTGTGATTTTCTTAAAGCTGTCTCTGTTTCCTGATTGTTCACAGAATTAAATTTGACTAACGCTGCTCAGAATGAAGAGAGTATTTTTTCAAAAAAAAAAAGGAATTTATTGAACAGAAATACAAATTGGTGCTTTTTGGGAATATTAAGTGGTGTTATATACTTTTAAATTAAGGTGCTACATGCACAATTTCAAATATCAAGAACATGAACTGTGATAGAGGCTGATATTCTTCTTGGCTTTAGTTTTGTTTGTTTACGGAAATCATTTTGATGTTTTAAATTTGAAATGAATGATTCTTTGGAGGAACAAGCCAAACTCTCACTGGGACAAAGAAAGGAAAATGCGAGAGGATGGATGGAGGGGCAAGACAGATATTGGATGTAGACCCGAGTCACAAATGTGATTGCTTTAGGCTCACCAAAATAAAAACTTGCAATCTGACTTTGCCTTTGACCAATCACTTGTGACTTGACTTGGACATTAGCCCTTTTGACTTGAAATGGCTTGATAGGTTTTCAAAGCCCACAGAAACAAATTTTGAAGCAAATTCTTGCTTCAGAGCTTGTTGCTTCCGTCCCTGAAGGAGGATGCGTCCAACATTTAACAACCAAATAGTTCTACAAAGTTATCTTATAGAGTTAACACCAGGCTGAAAAGCCTGCCCTGTTCAAACGAGGCTTGAGAATTTGTGTTACTTAGGTTGTCAAGATTATTATTGTTATTCATTTTTAACTATCACTCTTACTCTGCTGGTTTGACATGTGATGAGAGGGCCATAATGACTTGTTAAGAACTTGAAAATCAAAGTTTAGGACTTGGACTTGACTTTTATCATTTGGGACAGACACTGCAATATAAAAACTTTGTCTCACCTCTGGAGTTATTCCTCTCTGGTGAAAGGTGTCGGCGTTTTTTTGTGCTGCTGAGGCGTTGAGACTTGTATGGGACTATCTCACCTCTTCACATCATAAGTTTCTTCTCCCTGGGACAGGAACAGCACCTCTGCCACATCCTACGTTAATCCACTCAGACGAGATGATGAAGTTTTCTCACACGTGAACCGGACGCGTCTGTGTGCGTAAGACACTTAAATGAACAAAACCAGAGTGGGAAAAAAAAACAAAAATAGACAAAACACAGTGTCTCTGCTATTTAGAAGCAACACTGTGTGCGTTCTCATTTCTAACTTGTCCTCACACATCAAAACTGTCCCAAAACACACAAAAACACATCAGTGTTCATGCACTGGGCTCAATTCCTACATCACACACCCTTGCTGCAGTGAGTATATTCACTTCACATTTGAATATTAACATGAAGATGACAAAAAAAAAAGAGACATGAAAATGAGTAATTATGTTATGGTTGCTCTGAATAGTATTCTGACCACATCACTGTGTTTCACACTCCTGGAAAGTGGACGATGAATGTTGCATTATGTGTGAATAAGCAAGGTGTTGCTGCTGTGATAGTCTGCCTGTGCTTGAGTCCCATTTTAATGAGCTCACTGTGTGTGCGTGTGGATCAGGCTGTTCTTCACTTCCTTATGATAAGCTAAGCTAAACAGCTTCTGGTTGTAGCCTCAACCACATTTCCCAAAATGTCAAACTATTCCTTTGACCGATTAACTAAATGACTAATTATGACTAATTAACATGGAAATCAAGTTTGTCATTCCTTTAGCTTAAAGCAATAGTTTGACATTTGGGGAGATACGTTAATTTGCTTTCCTGGTGAGAGTTATATAAGAAGATTAATACCACGCTCATGTCTGTCCATTTAGTGTGAAGCTGAAGCCATGAGTAAATTATCTTAGCTTAGCATAAAGATTGGAAGCAGTGGGAAACACCTAGCCAGGCTATGTCCAGTGTTTAAAAATTACGATATACAAACACCTCTACAGCTAACATTTTAACACAATGTATCTGGTTTGTTTAACCCATACATATGCCGTGGAAATGTAAAAAAGGGCAATGTGTGGTTCTACAAATTTAAGGTGTTGGAATTATTTCTTACAGCCGGCGGTGCAGTGACATCTGGGAGCCTTGTCGTCACAGAATGTAACTGCTCCTAAAACCCCAAATAGTTGTTTTTACATTACAGTTTGTGAACAAGTTTATTAACATGAGATACAACATGTTAATTAGTGAACTTTAGAGGTGCTGCTAGGCATATTTTTTTAAACTTTGGACAGTGCCAGGCTTGCTTTTTCTCACAGCTTCCAGTCTTTATGCTAAGCTATGCTAATGAACTCATGGCTCTCTCTCTCTCTGTGCTGTCAAACTTTAATTATTGCATTATTTTTTGTTAGTAGTTTAACATATTTAGTCATTTTTTTGGTATGTGATTTTGTTTCTTTTGAAAAATTGTAATATTGTATTAATTAAGAAAGATAATTAATAATAATAATAACAATAATAATGAAAAGGAAGTGGAAATTCTTAAGTTATTTATAGTTTGATAAAAACTCTAAGCACAAGGTCCACTTTATTCGAAATTTGCAGGGGTCCCAGCCACACTTTGTGGCCTTCACTGAGGAGTTCGCTCAGTTGTCAATTATGGAATTTCAGTTTGGTGCTGTGCAGCACAATTTGTTTATTAAACCTGCTGTTTTTAAGTTAAATACTGAACCGTTAACCTCAAATCAAGGTATCTTAATAAATTAATAGGTTACTAAATCAACCCCAGGTGTGGCCAAGTCACAACAACCTGGTGAGGACAGCAGCAACATAATTGGCCCACTGAGTGTTTAACAAATATAGCACTGGCCTTTTATGTGTTGGTACATTGAAAGTTTCCTTTTTCCTCTTTGTTTAAGCGGTAAAAATCAATGCAATGACCTGAGTTTGTTTTGCTGTTAAGGTCAATACTGAACCTTTAACCTCAAATCTAGGTATCTTTGTTAAAATTAGGCTTAATTAGAGTGACAAGTAGTTTGTTTAGACGGCTAGGTTACATATAACTATTGTTTCAAATGTACAAATGTGTAGCAGATAAAATAAGAGAACATATTGAAATGTATACTCATTGGAATAATTCAACAAGCTTTGTATATGAGGTGTTCTAAACATCCCAAATTTTTGTGCAGATATATGAATTTACATCCATAAGAGCTGGAGTTAATAAATCAAGTCACAACAACCTGGTGAGGACAGCAGCGACATAATTAGCCCACTGAGTGTTTAACACTCAGGCCTTGTATGCTGGTAAATTGAACGTTTCCTTTTTTCTTCTTTGTTTAAAAATCAATGAAATGACCTGAGCTTGTTGGTGTTTGTGTTTTCGGAAGAGTTAAAAAAAGAAAATAAACAAAAAACAGTGTCTATGTCTCCATCTGAAGGTCAGCCAGTTGCATTGGAAGCCAACAGTAAATGAGAATGTACCAGTTTTCCTTTCATATGCTGTTTTTGCACATCGCCATGGAGAATGTTTGCTCTGAATGTCTGTAATGTTGATGAGGCAAAAAAACCAATCAAGCCCTGGAATACATGTCTTAATAAAAAAAGAGCATTCACTGTGAGCTGCCGGCTCTCTCTGTCACTTATTTTCCACATAAGTTGACACAACATGTCTTGCAGAGATGTCATTGGTATTTAATGTTGTCTTGAAAATGGACAGAAACACACATTTTCCCAGACTTATTGTCAACATATAAACATTTTCTCTGTCATCATACCCCCCAGTCAGGTCCCCAGACCTTTAAAACCTTCCTGTCAGGTCACTTTGGTTGTGTTTGAAACTCAACTGTGTTTAACTTTGAACAACAGTCAACGGACATTTTAGCATTTGCTGGTGCAATAGGATGCTAAGAAGCAAAATGGCGGAGTATATTTTTAAAACATTTGATATTTCAATATCGATATCAATGTCATGTCTGTGCATTAACTACTTTTTAAATTTTAATTTACGTATGGATTAAATAAACAAGATGCGTATAGTTAATCAATTTAAGAGATGCTGCCCTATGTTTGAAATTTAGACAACACTGCTCACCTGTGCCTCTGCTTCCTGTCTTTAAGCTAAGCTAACTAAGCTAATTGATTCCAGGCTTGGAAAGAAAGAAAATAAAACTATTTCCCAAAATGTTGTTTTTATCAAGGGAGTTAATTATTTAATTTAATTACTTTTCTGTTTTCTTACCAACAAAGGTATTCTTAAGGTAGTTCCTATAACATATAAGACAACATATTTTACTACTAACCACAGTATTTGTTTAGTCATTTCTCCTATGCTTCCTTTTTTTTAATCTAAACTGTCATCTCCTTTCCGTCTCACCTTTAAATTTCATTTCCATTTCAAATATATAAAGCACTCTCTTTTTGTGTCTCTTTCTTTGTATTTTATAGAAACCTCTCACCAGACTGACAGCTGTCTGGTTTCTCTCACACACGTTCACACCCACAATCCATTCCCGTGTCTGTTGCTGCAGTAACTGCAGAGATCTCAGGGGCCTCCTGTCAATTTAGAGGAGTTGTCGCTGGGAGCAACGCTGCTGGTCAACAACGTCTCTCAAAACCGCTTACACCAGGAGGAGAGGAGAGGAAGGAGAGAGAAAGAACTCAGAAGTAGGAGACTGAGGAGAGATCAGGAGACCAGAGGAGGGAAAGAAATAGGAGAGGGAAGGAAGATAAAGGAGAGAGAAAACGACAGGAGTGAAGGCATGAAGGGCAGTAAGATAAGAAAGCAGAGGAGGTGACGGGAGGATGGAGCTGAAGAGAGGAGATAAGATTTCACCTTTTCTTCCTTCACCAGTTGTTATGTGTGTCTACAACGTCATGTAAACACTTCTTGGATTTGCAGCATGTGTAGAAGATTTGCTCACCTACAGAAACTTGGTGATACAGTTGACTATTTATGGGTTAGGTGGCAATCAACTGTAGCATCATGCGCTAATTTGCATATTAGTGACAAGTGATTAAGATTTACATTGTTTTTAAAGACGATCTAACCTTAACTGAGCATAATTATAATGTGCAGTTATTATTTTTCAAGTTGCGATCATCTCATCAAGACGTGTTTAATTCTACCTCTAATTTTTATGACGTTTTATGAAGGTACTGTGCAAAGAAGTTAAAGGAAATTGTGAAAAATACAGATTTACCGGCAGTAAAATGAAAACAACCGTTCTGCATGTTACATCTCTCAGGCATAATGCTGCTCATATTTTGATTATGTAGTCAGCCGTGAGCTTGAATTTCAATGTAGTCACGGTCAATCAAGAGTAGAGAGGCTGAGAGAAGATCCCTGGACGCAGAAAGTGGTGGACTCGGGAGACGTCTATTGATTGTCGCCCACAAATGCAGCTTGAGAACCCTTTGTGAATCTTGAATCGACGGCAGTCCTTGTGTGTAAAGTGGCCTCATCCTCCTCATCATTTGAAGGTCTTTAGATTATCAGTTTACGGCTACAGGCTCAAATGGACCCTTGAGGCGAGGTCTACT